CTCTCTCTCCTTTCTCTCTCTCTTCTCTCTCCTTTCTCTCTTTCTCTCTCCTCTCTTGGTCTCTTCACTCTTCTCTCTCCCTCCCTCCCTCTCTCTCTCTCTCCCTTTTCTCTCTTCTCTCACTCCTCTCTCTGTCTCTCTCTCTCTCTCTCTCACACACACACACACACACAACTTACCGGGGTCCCTTTCTCACCCGCTGGGCCAGTGGGCCCTTGGGGTCCAGGCCGTCCTGGCAGCCCAATTGGGCCAGCTGTCCCTGCAGGACCTCGCTCCCCTGGAGAGCCCTAAGGAGGAAGAAGAAAGTTAGTGAATGCTCTAGCAGAAGGCGAAACGGCCCCCACCCCCGAGGAAGGCTGGGGGGGGGCTGAGGGGGGGCCACTTTGGCTCCCAAGGGAAAAGGAGGGGATCTCAGACTCAGGAGAAAGGAGGCGCCCCCGAGAGCCAAAGGAGCGCGTGAGGAGGCTGCCAGGTGGGGACGGAGGAAGAGAATCCTGTCGACGGCAAGGAGAGCAGCTAGTGGCGGGGGAGGCCCCTCTGCCCCACGGAGCCCAGGAGGATCCAGGGCAAGAGATGAGCTCCAGGATCAGGTCCACATCTTCTCTGAAGCAGCAGAGCAGCCCAGCCCCCCCCTTCTCCCCCCCGGCCTTCCCCTCCTTTCCTCCGGTTGCCGCCCTGCCAGCCACCTGGGAACAGCCCAAAGCCACCCGGCCTCTCTGCTCAGCCAGACAAAGCGGGTACTTACCGCTGGTCCAGGAGGCCCCGGCGGCCCTTCGTTGCCCTTCAGCCCCACAGGTCCCTGTGTGGAAGGAAGGTGGCGTCATTCGTTGGCAAAGGTGTCTCAAAGGCGACGGTGGTTTGTTGGGGAGGGGGGAGAAAAGCTCTCAACTCACAATTGGGCCGGGGAGTCCTCGGTCTCCGGGGAAGCCTCTGAAGCCTGCTGGGCCGTCTTTCCCAGGCAAACCGGCGGGGCCTGGGTCACCCTGCAAGCAGGACCACGGGTCAGACCATGGCTGGAAACCAAGCCCTCCCTCGTCCCCCAGGGCCAACCCAGGAGGAGGAGGAGGAGGAGGCTGCGTGTTTTGAATTCCGATTGGTATCCGAAGGGGTGGATCCCCCTCCGAATCCGCCATGAGGATGTTTTACAAGCTTTGATGTTGGAAGAGGCAATGCCAGGAAGAAACCACCTGTCAGGATTCCAGCAATCGCCCTAACTGAGTCATGATTCTCAAGCCAAACTTCAAAAAGCTTCAAAGGATCCATTAGAGGCGACATACTGGCCCGGCCCTGTAGGAAGCCAACTCTGGCCTACGTCATTTACAGTCCCCTGTGATCCTGTTTCCCCCCTGGGTGTGTCATAAATCAGATTCTCCAACTGAGCACATTCATGGTCTAGGTGTCATCATTCACGTTCTCCAATTAAATATATCTGCAGGCAAAAGCTCTGGTAGCTTAGCTACAATCTTTTAAAGAGGAGAGTTGGAATGTCCTGTCGCTTTCAACTGCACCTCCAGATTTCCTTCCTCCCCTCCCCCCCCTTTTTTAACAGCAACGACTAAAACAGGCACAGGGATGTTTTATGAGTTGACACCACCTCCCAGTTCTTCTGGTCATCTTGCCTGCGATGAGAGTAGATCTGAAAACAGATCTAACCCATAAAGGGAATCTGTCTTTGGGAAGAAGGGACTCTGCACCAGCTCAGGAGGCCATCCTAGCACCTGCCCCTAACATCACGGAGCGTTTCCACTGCCAAGATGTGCCTGAAAAGGCTTGAGGCGGGATAGCTGTGATACCACTGGCATCCTGTCTCCAGATGGACACAGAGCTGAGAGCTTTGCTTAGGATCCTATGGTGGGGGGGGGGGAATGGCCCTCACGATCAGGCCACCCACCCCTGCCCAGCACAGGAACTCCGGCTGAGCCCCCTGGAGAGGCTGCCTAGGCTCTGCATGAAGTCAGCCAGCAACGGAGATCCACAGCCTCCCTGGCACATAAAAGTTTCTCTGAAGAACAAACCCACCATCATCATCTTATTTTAATGACCCCATAATCCCTTGAGGGGCGGAGTCTGGGCAGCCGAATGGAGCTGAGTGTTTACTGGCCAGATGCCCTTCCTGTGGCCATTGCGGAGTTTTATTCGGCAGTTATATTTTCATTGAGCCCAGAGAGAAATACCTGCCGCTACCTAGGATCGAAAGCCTCCTGATGGCGAGGCCACCGCCCCACTCTTAAGAGCAAACCAACCGGTATTCGGGAATTCTTGTTCTTCACTTTCCTCCCCACGAAAGAGCAAGCCTCACCCACACTTCGCTCTTAAATCCTTCCAGACGTATAACTTTTAACTTTCTAAAACGAAGTCCTTCTTCCACCCTGGGTGTCTTCTGGGTCTGATGGAGCTCATACCTTTGTTCCTTCTTTTCCAGCCAAGCCAGGGAGTCCCTGTTCCCCAGGGGGGCCGGGAGGGCCCGGATGGCCACGTTCACCCATTGGGCCTGTTTCTCCTGTAGGGCCCTGCAAGAAACGGGGAGACGCCTTCAGGATGGGCATCCGGATACCTAATTCCACCAAAAGAGGGAATCTGGGGGCATTTCGGGGGATAGGAGTTGGTGGCAAGCAGGGAAGAAAAGCCCAGGAGGGACACACAAACCTGTAATCAGACAGGGGCAAGTCACACCGTCCACCTCAGATGCAAAACAGCCAGTTTGTTCTCCCCCCAATCAAGCACAATTCTCTCAGTAAGAGACTAGTATCTTTCCACACCTTGAATCGTCTTGTCTGCTCAATTGCCTGTCCCAAAAGTGCTGTTTCTCAAGAGGCAACTGGACTTCCTAGTTTTTCTTTGAAGACGTCTCGCTTCTCATCCAAGAAGCTTCTTCAGCTCTGAGTGGATGGTGGGGGAGGGAAAGTCAGAGTTGAAGAAGCTTCTGGGATGAGAAGTGAAATGTCTTCAAAGAAAAAACCAGGAAGTCCAGTTGCCTCCTGAAAAAGCACCTTTGGGACAACCAGG